TTCGCCATTTGCACATCACTGATTCAGGAATAAAACTATAGAATTTCGAAAGGAAACTGAAAATGTTTAGGATCGTTAAAAATAACCAAATAGATCTTTCTGATTAGTTTTTTACTAACAAATACCAAACGATTCCCTATAATATACAATATAATTTAATCATTATGATATCAAATAATTACATAATATATATTTGAAATGATAAAAATTGGACTAATTGGGTTGGTCGAGGTTGTACCATTGAATAACTTTAAAATACATTATATTTTAGCCACTAAGATATAAAATAATAGCATAATATATATTATGCTATAGAAAATAGCTTTTTTTAGAATGGCAAATCCATGATGTTTATTTGTTTTACTTGATGGGAAAACCCGTGTAGGTCATACTCATTCAACTCTTTTATTTTATGATTAGCGGTTAGCCCATTAGAATCCATGCATTAGTTTATTGTTAAATTTTTTTTCTTTTTAGCAATAAAAAGGAGTATTGTTTTTGCCTTTTCATATATATTTTACCACCACAAAGAAATAAAAGGACTTAAAGAAAAAAAATTGACACTCCTAGACCCGTTTAAATCCGCATGTGTACAATAAGTTGGCCCGTTCCACAGAGGAAAAAGAAAAAAAAAATTGACACTCCCAATTCTACCCTTCCTACAAACGCTCCTGGAGAAGGGAATTTGAAATGGGGGAAGAGTTTTTTCCTCTCTGTGATTATATGTTTTTAATTTAAAAAGATACAACAAATATACTTAGTGTGATTGTTTATGATCTTTGCTTTTCTTTAAAGTGGTCATGGTTCGAATCCTAATAAGTGTCTTTTTAATGAATAAAAAAAAGTAATTGTGAAGACCAAAATGCCCTTCCTACTTTCACTCTGGATGCAGAAAATTTGAAATGGAGCTTCAAGTTTTCTCATTTGGCTTTTATTTATTGTGTAGATTAGAACCAACCGACAGAGTGTGTCAGATTGGAGACTGAAGAAGGAAAGGCCAGGGAATTAGTTTTGTCAGCTAATTAGGGTTTTGTTGGAAAGGTAAAAGAAAGTTAAAAATTAACCCAATTAAGAGAAACCAATTGTAAAACAAAGGAAATCGACCAACGAGGAAAGAAGGAAGAATCAATCCCAGTCAGTCATCAGTCAGTCCCCCAATAATATATAGTACACTTTTGTGTATTTTTCTCTATTTTAAATTTCCTGCAACGAGAGTGAAAGTAGGAAGGATATTTTTGTCTTTACAATTACTTATTTATCTCACATAAAAAATATCAACATTAGGATTTGAACCCAGGTCTTTTCAAACAAAGACAACAATCACAACCATTTACACTGAACAAATTTGTTGTGTCTTTTTGAATACAAAATATACATGAAGTTCAACTCTCTAAAAATCGCAGGACTTCCCATCATGATTAGCAAGGCCACTAAGTATATCGTATGTATTTTTATGGTGCTTGATACTTCAATTTTCATTGTAGAGTTTCGTGTACTTTCTCAATTTTAAAATTCTTTCTCTCTCCTTAATTTTTGCTAAAGGTAAATTGGTAATTTGCTTACATAGAAAAAAACTAATTTTGTCACTACGTGTTGTGTCCTTGCATTTTTCAATTTAAATTTTGTGGTTTTTATCTTTGTTCTTATCTCTTTCTAACTTCCTTGAAAATTCCCTCCATCGTACAATAGTTTGCGCCCCTTTCACTTCCCAATACAAGGCCGCCTTTGAAAATCAATCATATGGTATCTCTTGGCACGTCGGTTTTATTGTTAGGGATTTATGTTGGGCAAGTAAAAGAGTTTAATAAATAATGGAGTTGCAGAAGAAGGATTAGAAATTGAATTTTTGGTTGAAACATATGTCTCTTGAGATAAAAATTTGGTTGTGCAACGAAGAGTGGTGGCTATTGGATCTTTATATTTATGGTTTTTACATCTATCACAGCCTATTTCTATCTTAAAACGAGGAATCATTGATTGATTTATTGAAGTAGGTCGATTCTTTATTCAATCTACTGGAACTGATAGACAAGGAGTGTCTAATTTTGTGTCTTATTACTTTGATTGAGTCTATTAGTATGTTGGAGATAACCCTAATTTTGCCGTTTGCTCTCAAGTTTTGATGGTCCCCTCTTAGCTGAGTTGTTAGTATATAGTTGACTTGAATCAACAACTCTCCATTTCTTTTTGATTAGTGGCATATTGTTCATAAAAGGAGCGTCTTAAACCCTTATGTAGGATTGTGAGGTTTAAGATTTAGTTTCAAACTATCTATGGGTCGTGTGAAATTTCACTGAGCTTTTATACCCTCTTTCTTGACAATCAACTAACCAATAGCATTTGAATGAGATCATTATGAAAATTGAATTAATGATACATTTTATATTTTATATTCTTAAATGATGATGGTATTTCTCCGAATGTTAAACCTATACTTTATGTATCATTTCGATCGAAGGATTGTCAATAAAATTAAACCGGTTGATTAGCTTAAACGTAACATAAAAATATAAATATGAAAATTCCGGCCGATTGGCCGGGTTATAAGCTAGTAATTATAACTATTATTATTAAACAAATGACCGAACATTTGAACTTTAACGGCACGCAGGTTCAATTTCTTTTACCCTCTTAATAGTTGATTAATTAATTAAACATTGTTTGAAAACGATTGGTTTTGATATGTACAATTACCAACTCGATCTTATAGTAATCATACATCAAAGAGAGACGTTGGATTGGGAATATTGTTACCACAGCAAGCATTTGAAGTGAACTAGTAGTTGCATAGCTAGTTAGGTGACTTTATCGACTTAATTTTTAGGGTTTAAATCGCAATATTGACTATTGTGTGATCATGGTCCGCACTTATTGCGTGTATCTTAGTGTTACCGAATTATATTTATCGTTATATGTAAGCCCTTTCAGTTACATTTTTCCTATAAGAATGTTTAAATTGAAAACCGAGATCAACCGTGGATGAAAATAATCGATCAAATGTCAACTCGCGATGAAAAATTATCTTTTCCCTATTCTTATTTGAATTTTTTTATTTTTTTCCAACAAATTTCAAACAAAATTATCGAGATGCATATGCAAATCATTTTGTGAGTTGTGACAAACAATTCCATAAAAAAAAGGCTCTTGTAATTTCCCAGCCTCCCTTTTGACTATGACGCTAGAGTTAAGACCGCCGGCTGGTACCCTGTTTACCACATTCAAATTTATGAGCTAAGCAAGCTCCTCCAAGGCTCCCACGATGCTTTATGATCATCATATCATCATCCCACTCCAATCCACATTATTAGTGCTATAAAACAATGAAGTCGTATTGATCTATATATCTTGTTAACGTACATGTGTTTCTTCACGAATCGAGCATTCAAGCTTGCGAGCCCTTTTCATGATCCAATCGTTCGCACTTTTGTGAACAAAATGTACATACTTTTCTATCGTTGAGCATGTACGCTAGTAAACACCTACATACATTTTTTTATCATACGGTGTATCTCAACACGTACTACAATGACATTCAACATTGTTCCGACACCAAGCTAGCAGGATAACACGTACCAGGGTTTATCATATTCGTTAGATTGTGTGTATCGGTTCACTTGTCAGTTGCTTCCAGCCATAGATGGGCTAAACAAACCGTCATTAACCCATGATTAACCAAAGTTTTACCTTGATTCTGATGAAGGATCCTCATAAAGTTTTTTTTTAAGTTGCATTCAAGTCCCCAATTTTAGTACAAACACATTAAACAAACTGATCAGAAGCTCAGAGGTATCTCATGTCACCTCACTGTTCTTTGTAGCTTTATAGCTATGGCAAAATCAAATCATGGTGGGGGAAAAGGAGGGAATTCTATTTCAGTTATTTTGGCTCTTGCCATTTTCAGGGACTGGTCTGGGTTTCTTGCCTGCAGCAGTACTTAATGTCCAATAGAAATTAGGAAACTAAACAATGAAATTCAATACTCTTCTGTCTCTCTTAAATTGGGTTCTGTGTAAAAGTGGTTAAGTTGGGTTGTTGTGGGAATCATGAAATGAAGTGAAGTGGTGAGGCAGAATGGTTATGAGAAGGTCTAGTACACTGCATCATCCACCATTAATAACTTACACATTACATTGTCTCTGTTTTTGTGGCCCTTGAGTTGGGGAGGTTCTCTAACAAAGACAAATTTGTGGCATGAGTTAGACAGAAGTAGCGAAACAAACGAATATGAGCAGCGAAATTTGAATTCGATTCCCTCTTTAGGGGTGTTGTTTGATATAAAGTTTGAATTTGCAGGTATATTGGAAATTTTCATCCGTCTATTGACATTATGTCAGCTTATCATGATTGAACCTTGTCGTTTCATTCGAACAGGTCGAAATATGGACAGTAAACCAGATCAGAAGGTCAAGAAGACAATGTCGTTATGGAAATTTTACCTCGTTCGGAAACTTTAAGTACTCAAAAGAATTGCATTACGAAGCAACATTAATTTCTGGTTACAAGGCAGGAAATTAAGGTTATTCTAAATAGTAGTGAAAGAAAGAAATCATAGAGAAATAAATACAACCTTATTTTTTTATGCCCAAGGGACATTATTGATTTTAATCTTAGTTTTGGAATGCGTTCGATGTTTTTGATTTGTTAATGTTAGACTAGTTTCAATTCCATTCATTTTCAAACTGCAAAACAATAATGTATTTAGGAACTAGATTAACACTTCTATTAGAGAGAACATATAACATATCAACATAACACGAATTCTTTTCAGACATCCGATCAAATTGGATTGATAAACACCTCTAAACTATTGCCATGACACTCCTTATTAGGAACATACATATTTTAGCAACATAATAAAGAAGGAAAGATGCCGAACACCAAAAACAGAGTCTCACTCAAACAACCAGCTTTCATTTGAAAACCTCTGTTCCTTTTACATACCCGAGGTTGCACACGCCTTTGGCCTCTCTCTCTCTCTCTCTCTCTCTCTCTCTCTCTCTCTCTCTCTCTCTCTCTCTCATCCCCACTTGACAACCATAAAAACCTCTATCTCCCAAGCCCGACTTTCCATTGCCCAATTAAGCCCCAGAGAAAAAGATCGAAACTTTGACATCCCCTGCCACCTTCTTCTCCACCCACCTCCAAACGAGCATAAAAAGAAGACTTTTGGTTTGGCGTTGTGATCCTTATATGACCTTCTGAAAAAACCCACCTTCCACAGGCTCCTCTACCCTGTATACTTTCAGTTCGTTGCTGGCTTTTCACTACCTAGAAAGGAGAAGAAGCAATAATAGAAAGGAAAAGCTTAGGGAAGAATGGGGTTCAGATTCTTCTGTTAAGGGTATGTTTGTTTGCTTGCTGTTCTGTTTTCATCTAAGCCCATTTCCACTTGTGAATTTTCTTTTCAAATCAGAGAGAGGGGAAAGTGAAGTGGGTACCTCTCTGATCTCACAGTCTCACTTCCCTTTCAAACAAAAAAGAAAAAAACTGACTGTCATTGATTCAGTCCAACAGGTACTATCCAGAAAGAGAAGTCCCCACTCTCTGTTCTGTATCCAACAAACTCTCTGCAAAAATTTCCCTTCTTTCCTTTGTCCTTATTCCCAATTCTTCCTTCTCATTTCTCTGTGATTTCAAATCCAACAAAGAGATTAGATACCACTACCAGCTACTTGTTATTCTTTTCCCCACATGCGCTCTGTTCTTCACTGCTCTTCTTCTCTCCGCCTTTTCCACTCCCTGAGACTCTGTTTTTAAGTTTGAGCTGAAAAGAATGGAGAAACATTCGACAATAACCACATTGACGACTAGAAGGCCGAAGTGGAAATACGCACAGCCACCGCCGACCCCGAGAATCCTGCACCTGCCTCGGAGGCCTCTTCGCCGGAAGATTGCACCGCCGGCTCCGGTGCAGACGAAACCGAAGGTAGACAGGAGAGGGAAGCTGGAGTCTCTGTTCGATCAGGACAGGGAGTTTGCCAGAGGAGCTCTGCCAATTCTAATGGTGAGGGATGAAGGTGGTGGTGAAGTGGTAGGAGTGGAGAAGAGGAGGGAGAGGGTTGAGGAGAGAGAAAGCTCGGTGGCGGCGGCGGTGGTGGAGGAAGAGAAGTGGAGAGTTCAGGCAGAAATGCTGAGGTCAGAGTGTAGTGTGCTGAGGATGGAAAAGGAGATTGCTTTGAAGAAAGTGGAGAGGAGGAAGGTTAGGATGCAGAGGACTCTGCAGTCTGCTGTTCAAACTCTGCTCTCTGTAAGTATCTCACACACACTCTTCTAAATCTCTTTGTGAAAGTGAGAAAATTTGGAACTTTGGGAGTGATCGGCTTGTATTTCCCTTTTCAAAAACAGGGGAGGGAAAGGATTAGCAATGGTGAGAATGGAACGATTGAATTGGAAGAAGAAATCGTGCAACTGGCAGAGAAGCTTGAGAAGCTACAGAGGAGATCAAGTACAAGGAGCAAAGCATCCAACTCTAATGGAACTATCAAGAGCAGCAATTTCGACAAGCGAATTGGGCAGATTCAGGAGATGGCTGAAGCAAGCTTGTCCATCAGAAGCACCACTACTACTACTACTACAGCTACCAGTAGTGCTGCTAATGGGAATTTCGTCTCAGAAGCAAACTGCAATGTATATAAGTTCAACTCTGAACTTGAACCTTTTTCTTTTCTGGCCATTTTTGGTGTTAGATTGTTGATTCTTCTTTGTATTAAAGGTCGTGCAGATTGAGATACTAAGGAGGAAAATGGAAGGATTATCGAGGGGGACATTGTTAGAGAGGATGGAAGACGAGTATGGGTCGATGCTTTCGACAGCCAGCACCTCTGCAGCCAGCTCTGCCTCCAATTCCAGGAGGATTGAGCTTCCTGAAATGGCTATGGCTTCTTTTAGACATCCATACAAGGTGAAATCCATGTTTTCTGCAATCCTTAGTGCGAAACTGCCCACCGAAGCTTCTTAGATTTTGAATTATGGGAATTTGCAAACATTGCAGGAGAGAAAGAGCAGGGAAGAACAGCAGCAGCAGCAGCAGCAGCAAGCATGTACAGGAAGCTGCAAGGCGATAGTACGGAGAGTGATGGAGCAAGTTAGGGCCGAGACAGAGCAATGGTCACAAATGCAAGCAATGCTGGGCCAGGTTAGGGACGAGATGGAAGGGCTTCAAGTTTCGAAACAGTTCTGGGAAGATAGAGCACTCGAAGCTGATTCTAACCTCCAACATCTACATTCATCTGTAAGCAAAACAAACACTTATCTCCTATGAATTCTGGCAGAGAAGATGATTAACTAACTAAGCTTCTTTCTCATTGGAATTAGGAACAAGAGTGGAGACAGAAAGCTTGTTCCTTTGAGGACAGATCGAAGGAGCTCGAAGAACAAGTTTCCGAGCTTCAAAAGGAGATTGAGAGGCTAAAGAAGGAAGCAGCTAGAGATAATAGAGCCACTGGACGACGAAATTTACCAGTAGGAACTCCTAATGAGATGGAGAAGCGAGTTCTGGCATGCCGGATGAAGGAGAATCGACAAGACGAGCAACAACAATTCAGGCTGAAGGACGCGCTGAGAGAAGAGAGAAGGAAGTCGATCTCAGCAGGCATCAGTGGTCGGCTCAAGAGATCACCGTTCAGAGATGTTGGCAACTCATTACCATTGCCACTACCAAAGCAACCGTTGTGGGTGTAGAAAACCTGGATAAGAAACAGAGTTCTTTATTTCCATATATGTGCATACAAAAAGAAAATTAGCATTAGCAGAGCGGTTTTCTCTTTTGAGACCAATAACACAACATGTTACCACACAACCGTTGATTTCGACACAAATGAGAAAGCCAGTTCGCTCTCTTGAATTTGGGGCAGTTACAACCGACATTATGCAAAAGAATTCAAATCGAACACTAAACCGAATAATAACATAACCAAGACTTCTGATCAATCCGAGAGTTTTCCTAACTATTTACATATAGGTAGATCTTGGCTTGGTATCACAGGCATCAAGGGTTAGGCCGGGAGCAGAGCTGTCCCATGTTGTCATTGCAAGAGTACCACCAGCACCATGGTGTTGTTGTTGTTGTTGTCGATAGCTAGCCAAATGGCCATCGACGACAACACGATCATGGTGATCGTAGCCAAACTGCGGGTGGGATGGTCCCCAGAAGTCTTCGCTTAGGCACAAATCATCGTCGGTAAATGTTTGTTGCGAGGGATAACAAATTCCCCCGAAGTGACCAAATTGCATCTCCATCTGCATCTGGTTAGCATAGTGAGTTGCTACCGTTGACAAATTACCTTCCTCCTCTCCATGGAGATGGTGGGAATAGTGAGGGTGATGAAGAGCTCTGTTATTATCTACAGCCATGGAATCAATGACAGTCTGGCCAGTGATTGTAGTAGCATCCTGAGGTTCATCATCATGATCAGCAGCATCAACATGGTCAGGGGAGAAGTTGCCTCCCAAATCTAGTTCCCTCTGTCGAGGAGTTCGCCTGAGGCTGCCATTGCCGACCTTCTTGTAAATCCTGCACAACACGTAATCATCCAGCTGCACAGAATATAACCCACAAAAGAATCATTAACACGTAATCACCCATGATTTTCAGAAAGAATGTCACGTAGTACTACGTACCCTCATATCATCGGCGCCATTGTCAACTCGAGGACGCGGCGCAGGGTGCTCCTCGACGCGATACTCGTGCATGATCCAGTTGGTCTTGATCCCTCTCGGCGGCTTCCCTCTGTAGAAAACCAGCGCCTTCTTGTACCCGACTTTCGCCCCGTTCGCCTTCCTCACCGGCTTGTCCGCTCCGGTCGCCTTCCAGTACCCGTCCCCGGCGGCCCTGTTGGGCCGCTTCCCGTGCTTGTACTTCCTGTCCCTCGGCGTGAAGAAGTACCACTCGTTCTCCCCGCAATTCCTGTACTTCTCTGTTTCGCGCGTCGCGTTTTTTTTTCCAAACGATACCAAAATTTCATTCAGTCATTTCGTCGAACACTTAAACCGCAACAAAAAGAGAAGACGTGGTGCATTTATTTTACCGGCGAGTTCCTCGGGGTTGTACTTGTAGAGATTGACCTCGACGATCTTGTTCATCGGGACGGGCTGGCCCAGCACCTTCCTGGCCAGGTAGTGCTCGACGAGCTCGTCGTCGTAAGGGTTGAACCGGTATCCCGGCGGGAACGAGTCGAAGTATTCGTGATCCACGAAGTTGACATCCTCCAGCTCCCCGCATTCGTCCTTGGGCAGCTCCACCGCCGTCGCCGAGGGTTCGGGCTTCATCGCCGCCGGGAGAGGAGAAAAGCTCTCCGCCGACGACGAACGGGTGAGTTCGGTGAGGGACGAAGCTCCGCCGGTCGGTGATGATAGGGCTTCTTCCATCGGGAATTTTTCTCAGGGGGAGTTTGAATTGTGGTGGGAGAGGAAGGTAGGAGTTTGCGTCCGTTTAGGTCACAATTTGTCAATTTCTATATATTTATATATTTTTTGCCAATCAAAATTTTCTCCTGAAATTCAAAATTCTATTTGGATAACTCTTTCAAATATATTTTTTTTAATATCATAATCCTTCTTCAAATCGAAGTAAATCTCTGGTGATAACCACCACAATATAATTAGTTGAGATATTTTATTAAGAAAATTAAAAAAATTTGTAGATTACATTATTATATGCGAATTAATAGTAAGTCATGCCATGCACGTAACGTAGTTTAACGTAAACTTCATTACAAGCCACAATTAATCCAGCCGCCGGCGAGATAAATTCAAACGGCGACGGAGAGGACCTAATTAAATTTCTGGAATTAGATACTGTAACTACTAGTCAAATCAATCTTTTACAACAACGACTTTACTGGTGTACTGATTATACAGATTTTTTTTCTATGAATTGATCCATATATTAACAAAGAACGTGATCAAATTCAAACATAAGAAAAAGAAATTTACCAAAGCGAATCCACACAAAACAACAAGATCGCGGTCTAAGTGATATTTCTCTTGTCACCATTGAAAGTTGATTACCACATGTTTCCACTCGCAGGTTTACAGATTGAAACCGACGAGTGTTTGCAATGGTTTGCTCGCGATCAGAAATTTCGTGCGAGCGTCGCGATCATGTTGTTGTGCAGGGTCGCCAGCCACCGTGCGGTGGTGTCCGACCCTGCATGACGCGGCGACGACACTCGCGCTAGCAACAAGAGAGATTGAATGTTGTGAGCCTCTGTGGGAGGTAAATTAAAGAAACTATTATCAATCAAAGACCACGATTTGAGAGAGGTGGTGGCAAAAGGTCTAATTTGAGGGTCCCGAAAGGGTCTTATAATGAACCAATAATCTATTGTGGCGGTGGCGGTATTCAGTTTCAGTAAGGAAACAATGCATAAATGGCCATGCACGTCTCTTTGTTAAATTTGTTTTACGCCGGCGAGACTTGTGCGCGCAGAAAATCACTCAACCGCATTTGACCATATTTTCCAACGCTTGATTTTCCCATCCAAAAAACTGAGAGGGTAAGTGAAGAGGGGAGGGTCAAAGTGAAATACAAATTAATTTGTTGAGCGGTTTTTGGATTTGACTATTGAGATTTTTATTATACCACCAATAATAATAATTATCCTTGTCGAATGACTAATATGATATCTTGTGTCCTTATGTAACACAACTAGACTTTCATAACATAAATATGACTTCAACGATGAGTATACATGTCTCGTTCATATATACATGAGAATAATGATCAATGACTAGCACGAATATTAAACACATGATCATAACCATAATAAATTAATCATACACCACAAGATCATCATGTAATACAAGACCAGATCAACTAATGAAAACCTATCCTGGAAGTCCTGTAATATTAGGAGACCCTGTGGTAGAGCGACTCTAGGCACGCCACAATGGGTCGGCCCTAAGTAACCTAGATTACACAATTCATTTAATTTTAATGATTTCCCACTTCATTGTATGTCTTGTTGAACCGACATAAACCAATATATAAACAATTGGACGATAACACTTGCTAAACCGACATAAGGGTCGAATGTGACAACCACACTAATAATCTTCACCCCATCGGACTTTTGGGCTGAAAATGTTTCATTCAAACACTTCCCGCGCTTTACAGTTTCAAAACTGGGCCCCATGTTTTATGGGCCAGAACAGAATGTGGACAATTTTGCACGGTGTACTCAACCCGGTAGCAGTCTGGTCGTGCCATTGGTTCAAGAGAACGGTCTCGGTTCGACCATGACTCGGTTTCAATTCATTCTAACTACGAAACCGGGCCTAATCATTCAATAGATAGTAGCCTATCTATTCAGCCAAGAGTATTAATGTAACAAGAGACTGATCAAGAGAGGATGAAAAAGCACAAGGCAGAGGAGGACTAATCGATTGGATAAAGCCGCGGAATCCTGATAGTAGCAGAGAATCATCAGAAGAAACCGGAAGAGCTACTACAATGACTACTACACGTACAAAGGTGAAAACTCCTGAAGCTAAGGCAGAGATTTCCAGACAAGTTCGAGAGGATCTCTACATTTTATTTGATTTTGCATTTCTAGCTGGTCTGGAGAGAGCTCTGTCACAAGGCGACGAAGCCTTTCTCCTTCAAGCTTTCCACCGTCTCCTTGAGACTCACCTCCAGCGGGATGAACTCGATCCCCAGAGATTTCGCCTTTTCCTTGGAGACTTGATACGTCGGAACGTAAGGCTTGTCATCCGCACACCTGCAGAAGCGAGTAAGAAGAATGATGTTAAAAGGTTTGGTCCTTCGGTGAGTGGTGGTCAGAAGATTGAACTAAGGGGAGGGCAGACTCACTTTTCTGGGAGTTGGACGCTAGGGTAGAGCTTCTTCAAGGTGTTCACCACTTCGGAGTAGTGAGCAACTTTCTCAACCAAGCAGTACCTTCCGTTAGCGGATGGAATCTTGAATGCCTTGATGTGTGCCTCGGCCACGTCTTTCACGTGTACCCAACCGAATGTTGCGTTTGGGAATGTTTGAGCTCCTGCATTTCCATGGGACGTGAGAAGCAAAATCAACGACACTATTCCGCTACAGATAAACTGACATCATTTTGTTTCAGTTCATGCATTCCACTTTTGTTTCAGTTCATCCCTTGGTGTAATAGAAATCATTCTAATGTTAACGTGACAGTAGAAAAGGCCAACTATCAACCGGGTATGAGCGAATTGATTTGTAAAGATAAATAAAGGATTGTGTACTCAGCATATTGTTCTTCTTTCTCTATCTATTTGACATTCGTTCATCATGTTTTTACCTAAATAATATGCTGATTATGATGAGTTAGCAGAGACAAGGCATTACCTTTCATTATGCTCAGAACTGCTGCAGCACTCGTGTTAAGGGTTGGCTGCAACAGTGGGCCGATGACCATGGCAGGGTTTATGGCAACCAAGTCCATGCCTTTCTCCTTGGCAAGCTTCCACGCAGCATCCTCAGCCAGAGTTTTTGAAACCACATACCAAAGCTAAAAGTAGAAGGAAAAGTAGAGAAATTGTTAATATCAATACAACACTTTGGTAGTGGGAAAAGAAAATTCTCAAAAGCACTAGGTGGATCTCAGTAATGTACTACCCAAAATGGAAAACCTTCAAGAGATAGAAGTAAGGGAACATAAAAGAATAGCCAGAGCCTCTTCAACACAACAATTTCTGGTAACCCAATGGAATGAGGAAGATGGTTTGCTTCTAATCTAACAGCCACTGCTACATCATCTAGCCTTAGCTGCCTTCTAGTAACATAATCAAGATAGACCACGAACCATATATGGACCGACAAAACGTAAACATAACAATGTGGAACGTCTGAAAACTCTCACAAGAATGGACCATACACTTTCAACATTCATATGCAGCAATCAATTATGCTGCTACATAGAAGCCATCACTATTTCTTTCAACAAAGTTCATACAGAAAAACACAGTGCTCATAGAAAGATTCATCACCAACAAACTAAACAATTCTTGTCGAGAAGACACAAGAAATGAAACCACCCACCTTAGTTTCCCTGCAGAAGTCCGGGTTAGAAAACCACGTCTCATCAACCACAACTTCCGGCGTCCGTGGTTTGCCGTTGTAAGCCACCGCGGCAATCGAAGAAGTCAGAACAACTCGCTTGATCGACGGGGTCTTAGCACACGAATTGAGAACATTCAGCGTTCCTTTCACCGCCGGATCAATCAATTCTTTCTGCAATTAAATAAACAAAATCAGAAACTCTCACAACCTAAAAACTCAACTACCACAGAACCAACAAAATCGAACCTAACAGTCACCAAAGAGAGTAAAAAAAAAAACCCAGAAAACAGAGAAATCCAACCTGAGGATCCTGGACGTCGTGGTAGAAAGGCGAAGCGGTGTGGAAGACGCCGTCGCATCCCTGGACGACGGAATCGAACGAGCCTTCCTCGAGCAAGTTCGCCTTGAACAGCTGGAGCCGCTCGGAAGCTCCATCGAGCGCGCGGAGGTGCTCGGTCTTCCTCGGATCGTCTGCAACAAATTAACCGCCGCGAGAGCGGTGAGAAAGAGGGGAAAAAACGGAAAAGAGCGGCGAAATGGACAGGGAAATGAGGTAAGGGGGACTGACTAGGATCGCGGACGGAGGCCTTGACGGTGTATCCGCGGGAGAGGAGGAGCTTGACGAGCCAGGAGGCGATGTAGCCGGAGGCTCCGGTGACGCAGACGGTTTTCCCGGCACCGGTGGACATGATCGGCGTCTGTTTCTCTCTTTGTCTTTCTCTTATCCTGTGTGGGAGGGAGGGTGAGATCTGATGAGGGACTGACGGGTGGTTCGTTGGGCTTTTTATAGCTCGGCTCGCTCCGTTTGTACGAAACGGTGGTCTTTGTCGCGACGGCCGACGGGGATTGCTTTTTGTCTGGGCCCGTACCGTCGGCTGCTATTGGGCCAACGGGCAGGTAGAGATGATTGGTGTGTCCTTTTGTGTTCGTCTATATTTGGGCTGATTTACGTTTCGGTCCCTGTGAAAGTCTTCGCTGGCTACCCATGTTTGTTTGGGTAAAATTTGGCAGCAACCCAGGTAGCCGCTACGGGCTGCTACCATCCACGCGGCTCTTAGTAATTGGGCCAAAAACAATTTTCAATTCTTCAAATCAGAAGTAGTAGAGGACGGAAGGGAGACAAACTTCCGTTATTAGTTTTCCCATTTGAATTTTAAGGAGCAGCCGTCTCAAATAATATAGTTTGCTTTAATTATTTTTCATTTAATTTTTAGTTTTAGCTCTTTATTATTTAACATTAGGAATGTGATAATATTAGGATCATTTGGATGAGCAATTCTAACGAATCAATTTGATTCAATTGTTTCATTTTGAGACAAACTAGTCAAATTGATCCATTTGACAGCACAAAATATGAAGCAATTATGTATGGAGAATTTCAAATGACTCATTTTGAGACAATTAAAAATTGTCTGGGGCGGGGTAGACAATTCGAATTAACTCGATTTCATTATATCTTATACGGATTTCATACGTGTTTATTACGGGAGCCATGAAATGATTGAAAAAAATGAAACTATTTGACTGTAGTACAAAAGTGAAAGTTCTATATGTATAAAATATGAAGTTTGTATATGCCTATTAAATGGAGTATATACTATTTAACTAGACCATGAAAAATCAAAAGGAAAAACACAAATTTTATAACAAGGGGATATAAAAAAAATTTTGGTGAAATATAAATTTAACGGAAGTAACCCTAAATCTAAATATTAATTAAATGAAAGAATGAAGAAGAATGGAAGCTATTTCCGTTCCATCTCCTTAATTGGAAAAAGAGAATAAGTTAATGACAGAAGTTAATTAGCATCCGTACCGTCCCCTGCTCCTTCCCCCGTCAGTTTGCGATTAACAAGTATTGGAAATTATCTATTGGCCCAATCAATATGTGCCACTTGGATTGGCAGCCGCTACCAGCAGCAACCCAGGTTGCAGCCAAATTTTGGCCTCTGCAATTGTTAGCATCGAAAAATTTAGATTCGTTCCTTTTTTCTTAGAAAATGACACGTGATAATATATGAGCATCCCAACAAGTTTTTTAAATATTGAGATCGGATGAATTTCGTTTTAATTTTACCAAAATATAACTAAATAATTAAGAGATTTTTTTTGTTTTTTTACAAAAGCTCACTTGCATTACCAATATGAAAAATAGAAAGTTTACATCATTGTCATCGTCCGAAAGCTTCGAAAATCAAAACTTGAAACACCTAGGTAGGGCTGTCATTTCGGTTGTCGGTTAGCGGCTAACTGGTCGGTCTAATCGGTAACTGTCGGTTAGCGGCTAACCGAAAACTGATAGATTGATGGCTTCGGTCGGCTGTCGGCGAAGGTTGTTAGTTCTTTCGTTAGCCGAGTAACCGAGGCCGGTTAACAGGCTAACCGAAGCTAACCGACCGACCTCATCACACATGTTTATTAATGAACACAAGTATCAACTTCAATAAGCAATGCAATTGAATGAGCAGCTAGATTTGCATACTACTGTAATGATTTTCTACCCACAGTTTCAACCCAACCTACTAATCTATCCTTCTCGGAATCGCAAGTCAAGACGATGGATTTGGTAAGCAATGATTTTGATTGAGAAAGGTTGAGTCACTGCTTGCGTAGGGCAGAAGGAGGAATCCAAAATGGAAATGGGGAACTGCAAAGTTTCAACACTGCAAAGTTTCAACCCCTATTGAATGATAGCTTTTGGACTCGTATGGACTGGACGACGGCATTCTGCAGCGTAGCAGCCTTGTCGGCGATCGGCAACCCTTTTTTTTTTTTAACAAGGATCGGCAACCCATTGAACCGAAGATTCAACGGTAACTGTATTGGGCCAGAGGTGTGGGATATTTGCAAAAAGAAAAGCCCAAACCTTATGGTTGTTTTCTAGGACGAGGCTTTGCACTCAACCTAGGGCAGGCTTGTTCTGTTCGGGGCTTTGGGCAACCACTTAACATTCTTTAGAGTCACAAAAATATTAGTTAAGTTGGGTCGTTAGTCACAATGTTGAGATCTCTCGTGATTTCTTAACGAGACAGTTTACAAATTGAACTAAGAAGCCACCTACTCGACTTGGCTCACGAGCCTCACGAGATAAGCAAGGTTTAGTTCAAACTCGACTCGTTAATAAACTAATCGAGCTTTTTCCGAATCGAACGAGTAATTCTCGAGTCGAATTCCGAGCCGCTCCTGAATAGTTCGGCTGATTAATAGCCCTAGTGGTCAGGATTCATGAGTCCCGTCATAGTTCGATTAATGAATTAATCATCAAGTTGATGTGTAGTTGATCTTCATCATCATTTAATCACGATATCATGTTTCAAACTCTGTCTATACATATAGATATATCGTTTTGTGATCAGACATTTAATGTATTGTATGATCATTTATGGTGATCATGGATGATTAGTTATCGATGTAGTAAAGGGGTGTTTGGGGGATGAGATAGCATGCCTACCCATAAAAGGGTTGGAAAAATGACAACCCCTATTAATTATAGGTTTTTAAGGTAATTAATTTGTGTTGCATTTAATAATCTGTATGAATTAAAAACACATATTAATTGCTTTCCTTTTCTCAGTGCACTGGTAGTTGTATCAGTGCACTGGTAGTTGTGTACAGGTGCAATGGTAGATGTATCACTGCAATGGTAGTTCCAAAAAAGGAACCTAATTAATATGAGTTCAGTATACAAGTGCAATGGTAGTTGTATCAGTACAATGGTAGTTAAAAAAAAGGAATGTAATTAAGATGAGTTTTTAATTTCCAAAGATTATTAAATGCAACATGAATTTAATACAAAAAATAACTATAATTAATAGGGGTGTCATTTTTCCAACCCCTTACAAGGGTTAGCATGCTAACCGATCCCGGGTGTTTGGCAATATGATAGGGGGGAGTAAGAATGAATTCTTCAATGGCTAAGAAATAAATCCATGTTATCAATGGCGAACAACTTGTTCGATACACGAGAAAGTACATCATTATTATTAGCCGTGAATTTCTTGATTTTGACGAAATTTTGGGCTTTATTTTTGGACTGACATTTATTTCTCCCCTTGAAATAAGACCAAATAAGATGTCAACAACACGACTTGTGATATTTGTATCGAACTGCCGGATGGACCACAAAATCTGTCTGTCACCCCGACAAGGCTAACTACTTTGTCAATAGCATGGTTTGTGGTACAATATAGACGACTAAACCACGAAAGTCTCATTTCATCAATCAAGTCGTTATAATAGTCACGCCCTGCAGAAATATGTTTGTAGCAACTGGCAACTAGGGATGGCAATGGGTCGGATTGTGCTAGATTTAGTCAAACCCGAACTCAAATCCATGGGTATATTCACACACAAAACTCGGGGTAAAACTCAAATTCAACACAACCCGCTGGGTATTAGCGGGTTCATGGATACCTGTGGGTTCTATAAATGCACAATAACTTCCTGTCAGAATAAAAGTCTAACATCTATCTTCGCACATACAAATTATTTGTACAAAAAACACCGATCTAGACCATACAAGCAAACCACAAATTATCCATACAAATTGTTCAACATTAAAGATAAACATACATAAACAACATACACAATTAATTGAAAGCTTCTTCCTCTTTGTCAACTAAGCTTCTTCACTCTCCACTCCATAATATCACTTCATTCTACACTAGAAAGAACAAATTAGAGGGGTACGAGTTGGATATGGCTAAACCCAAACCTAACCAGCAAAATAGTAGAATTGGTTTAAACCCGAACCCGTCCTGTAATCTATCAACACAAATTTTACCCGCTTTCGGTGATACAGCAACCCAATTCGGCAGAGGCTTTGGTCTATATGACATCGATGATCGATCAAGCCATTATTATAACATCACACTACTGTAGAATCTCTTGTAGAATCTCATAATCAATATTAAACCAAATAGCAAGTCGAAGAAAAATCCCCTTTGCTACTGACGAACATGCTCATAGGACGGTCGATGTTCGATGAGATCGAGAAGACAAAATATTAATGAAACATGTGTTGATGTATTTATTTATTGTTTGTGTCAAATTCACAGAATTTCGTTATTGGCCGTTGAATCAGATTCGCTTGGACCAGTCAGGAAACCGGAGATCCGAACCGAATGCCAGGACCGCAGGAAATGCCCCACACGCGCGCCACCCACTCGCCTCATTGTTTTTCTCTCTCTCTCTCACCAACCCTTCATAACATGGCCAGAAGCCTTCACCCGCTCCATCTGATCGTGTGCTTCACTCTCCTCCCCACATTTTTTTGGGATTGCTATTCGTCGCCCTAAAATAGCTTATTCGTCGCCCTAAATCTTATTGAATTACACAAATACCCTTTTTCGTAGATATCGAACAGGTTTTCAACCCATCCCGAACGTTTCGGGACAAGTTTTCAACCCTTATTAATAGTGATGGTGCATGCTGGTCAGTCTTTTGATCCCTTGCAATTGCTGCTTGTTTGTTCTGCTCTAGATGCTGGAAGTATGGACATGAAAATTGATTTGTCAAACTTGGGAACAACGAATACAATGTTGCTGCATTATATATTCAGCAAGCTTGGCGTTCCTATTAAGACAACAATTTCTGCTAATGTACTCGAAAAAGCTCTGAATGGGACGATTACAATCAGACCCCCTCCAGTTGGCACATCAGTTAACGGGAAGCAGTGGCTTCGTCCTCCTCCACCCAGCAACAACATCACGACAGCGGTAGAGAGCAGTTCTGGGTTTTGCCAAAGAATGAGAGGCGGCAGATTTTGGTTGCCGAGAGAAGGTTCTAGGGTGTAGGTTTGATTGGGAATATGGGCATATGTGTCATTTCAGAATAGTTTAGGGCGATAGAATTTAAATTTTAGGGCGACGAATAGCGATTCAGATTTTTTTTAATAAATTACATAATAGGTCACCTCACTTTGAG